TTTCCTTCTCCTCCGTTCCTCCAACCCTTCTCCAGCCCGAGCCGCCGAGCCAAGTCTCCGCAGCCCTTTCCCGTCTGGTTGCACGTGCCCCCGATGGAGACCGGGGAGCCGAGGTAAAGCTGCCTCCCAATTCCTCGAACTCCCAAGCTCTCCCTTTAGTTAATCTGTGTAAAATATTTTCTGTATACCCCGCCCACTTTTATACCCCGCGGGGGCATGCGCGGTAGGTAAAAAACGCATATAACCCGTGGGTTATATGGGTGAAAATACGGTACTCTGTTGAAGCACAGTATAGTAGCTCCTTGGGAACGAAGTCCCATTGAACCTACTGGGGTGTACTTCTGAACAGACATGGGAAGGAGTGCTCTATAAATGCCATTCAGCGAAATCGGATACAAACTGTAGCTGTTACGTCCCTACGTGTCCCACCCTGTCTTGTCAATCAAGCATGTTGCTAGATGATTGGACTAAGTGTGTTTGCTAACTACATTATAGTAGCCATCCAGTAAAATCAAACTGTTCAACTTGGTTCGATTTGCAGCAGCAGTTTATTAAGGTTCTACAGAATCAAATGAATATGATTGCCTTGCAGAGACAAGAATGATGTGCTAGAAAAAGGGAATTAATTTACCCAATCCTTCAACCATTTTTTCTCCAGTCGGAGAGAAATAAGGCAGAAATAATTCCCTTTATATTAGTAGAACACATAGTGAATGCATACTAAATATATATCAGTGTGTTCCTGTCTTGTCTTGGACCAAGTCTGGGATAAAGGATGTCTTAGAAAAATGGGACAATGCAAGCTTCAAAGAAAAAATAGATTCTCAAGGAAGAGACATTTAGGGAGACCTGGTTACCAAGAACAAGTTTAACTCTCCAGTACAGACCAGTTACATCCATGAGTTTTGAAGCAGTATGTGGATGTCAACATGGAACCTTTTTTTAGTGACTTTGTGAAATCATGGAATTTAGGTATAGTACAAGAGGACTGAAGAAGGCCAGATGAAAAACATGTCTTCAAAGAGAGCCAATGTGAGGGAATGGGTCTGGGTAACTATAAACTATATCAGCTTAATGCTGAATCTGGGCAACAGCTGGAAACTGAGTTGGTATTACACAGTTGACTTGTGAGGATTTAAAATAAAAACAGGCTGTTTGGCAGGAGCTACAATGGATTTACCAAGGGCAAGTCATGGCAAATGAACCTGATGATCCTGTTTGTAACAGAGTGGCCAGTTTACTTGAGAAAATGTCAAATGCTGTGTATCAACCTGGAAAATTGAACTGCATACCAGAGGGCACACTGTGCTGGATCCTGTACTGTACAGTACTGTACTATTAAACTTATTTATAAATTAATTTATATAATTGATATATTATTTCTAAATTGAGTTGCACGAGGGAACAGAAATTGTTTTCAGAATTGTAAAAACACAAAGAAGGGGTGGCTGCAACGATTGCATAAATGAAAGATGAAAAATGAAAGAACAGCCTAGGTCCCTAAATAGACTGGCTTTTCTCATCATAGCAATCTCTAGAAAGGGCTATCCAGTACTCTAAAATGCTCAGTGTTTACAAAAACCAAGTCCAGTTCTCTGTCTACATT